TGCCGAGAATAAAAATCAGGGACGGCAGTTCCCATCCCAGTGCCTCCTCTATGCGACTGGCTTTCCTCCAGGCAGGAACGAGAGGGAAAACGCTGGAGAGGGAGGTCTTCCAGAGGACACAGTGACCTTGCGGTGAGACTGGCTGCTCCCTGTCTGCCTCTTGTTGGCAGCAGGATTCCCGTACCCTTCTGTCTCTGCTGGCAACGTGCTCCTCGCGTGCTTGCCAGCACCCATCTAGAACTGCAGGGAGGGTGGCTTTTTGTCAGCGATTACAGCTTCCCAGGGGCCTCCCTCCGGGAGCCCGTTCTGTCACCCCCACCACAGCTCGTGCATTATTCTGACACAAGCCCAAGGGATCGCTGACCTGCTCAGAAGTCAATATGCAATCAGTGGCCAGGACTTCTGAGGAAGGTGTGTGAATCCCACTACAGCTGACTGTAAAACGACTGTTTCCTACCTGTTAAGGGTATTTTATCCCCAGATACAACTCTGTGTGACTAAATAAGCCAACGTAAAAGCCAACAAAGCTTGGCAAAATGTTACAGTGATGAAACAAACACTAGAGCAGCTCCTATGCGTGATATACTGCACAAAAACCAACCACCTTGGACGAGAGTCAGTGATCAATCGCTGGACTTGAAAACGGCCCAAACATCTCTTTTATTTTTTTTCCTGGATGTAAGCAGTATTAAGCTGGAAAGCATTTTAAAATTCCTTCAGAGTTCACCTTTCAGAAAAATCAAGCAACTCTAATAAAGGATCAGCTCCACTTTCTCCAAACTTTTACTGCTATATTAATGCAAATTGGACCTGTGGGAAAGAAGGTAATGAGGTTGGCTTAGCCCCTTTTATCTCTCAACAGCTATCAGTAGTGAGGGTGATTCAGAGTTGGTAGCAGCTCCCTCTCTTCATTCCCACTGTGGCCCCCAAGGAAATGCCACACACTGCTTTTTCTCTGCCTGCTCTCAGATTCTGTAAGCCCAAGGCACTCACGTTAAAACGTTAGCTGTCATCATCTGTGATTCAGGTGCTGCCTCTATCAAGGACTGCCAAGTGTTTGTGGAGTTAGGAATCACAAAACCGAATTCAAAGAACCATTCTGCAAAGTAAAAAGAAGATCCAGAGGCATTTGAAAGACGGTAAAATCCACAAATGGTCCTTTTGCTTTTCACCTGACAGGCCGGGGAACTCCCTAAACTGTCCTGCTGCGCTGCCAACATTTTAGATTTAAATTACTCCGTACAGCTTAAACTGCACCGAACCCTGCCCTCCTCTTGAAGCAGTTACTCCCTTTCTGAAACAGCTGATGGTAACGATAAAGCCACACCACTTCCTCAGCATTCAGCGAAAATTTCATCACACCTAATTGGGAACAGGGAAACCACACTCCCCCTCTCGCAGACACCCCCCTGATCCAGTTGAGACTAAGTGTACAACTCACTGCCCAAAAGAAAGACAAGGAGCTCCATGTTTTATCTCCCCCTCCTCCACCCCAGATTAAGAGTAACACCGCAGTGAGGGAGATCAAATGTGCAGCTATGGAGTCACACGGACAATACTTGGTGGCACTGCTGTAACCAAAGTAAACCAGAGGCTCTTTTAGCCCGGCCTCCCGTCCGGTGGTGGCCAGCACTAGGTGCTCCTGAGGAAGAGGCACAAATCCCTGTAACGGGTGACTCTAAAATAACCTCTTTCCTTGCCTCAGGCAGCCTGCGGTGGATTTATGCCCTGAAGCACGATTACCCAGATTTTTTGCTTACATAACGAAGTGTTAATACACTTATGAAATGCTATCCCTAATACTGTGGCCCATTAGCCCTGACGAGTGCTTCGGTGCTACTCTGAAAAATTAAAATCACCACGTTCAACCCATTTTAGTTTCTCTAATCCCCGCCGTGCTGGGGGTCACTCCCTGCGCTGCAGCAGGACTGCACACGGAGCAGATGCATACCTTCTAGACACTGCCCTTTGAAATAAACTTTCTGTTCCAGGCGGAATTTTTCCATTTGTTCTGCTGAGGAAAAGTTTAACTCCCGAGACACTGCTTTGCATTTCAGGATTTTTTTAGGAACTCGAGCTGTGAGACAGATAAAGAAGCATTATTTGGACACAATAAACCAAACCCAGCTCCTTCAGGTGCTATTGCAATATACTCTGAAATAATGCAAGATCATAGCAGCAGGAGAAATGCAAATACAAAGGACTTTGGTTTTACATTTGCAGGAGTGAAATCCAAGATGCAAACAGGTTAAGTACCTTGCCCAGAGTCAGGAATGAGACTTGTGACAGAACCAGGGATACAAGACTGACCTCCCAGACTCCTGGTTCTTAGCTGTTTATTACTAAACCCCACAGTTCTTCAGGTAAAAATATGAGATGCAACTTCCATTTTTACTCAGGAAGTGTGCTGAAGATCACAACTAGCCGAAGGGCTGCTTAGTACACGCAGCGTGTCAGTCCTTCCCACTTCTCCTTCCCTTGCGGACTGTGCATCCCCAGCAAACCACAAACGGCCACTTCTCAGCCCAGCAGCACTGTTCCAGCCATCTCACACCGCTCTGAAGTCGTCCTGCGCAAGTGTACAAAATGTCTGTTCCCCAGGCACCGCGGCCCACACAGGCAGCAAAGTCAGTGCCAAACTAGAGAGTTTAAGAGAGTAGTTCGGCAATCCAAGGTATCTGGGCTCTCGCAGTGGGTGAGACGCCAACAGCAAGTGGCAAACTCTACCTGGTAGATATTTCACAAGGCTTTTTCCGGAGGCAGAGGAGTAAGAGAAAGGACAGTTTGGGAGCACTGATTAATATGCTGAAAGGTCCTAATCAGGAGAATATGGGGGGGAGTCAATATACTAAAAATCTCCCAAGCCCGTCATACCTCAGTGGTGTGACTGCACATAATCCTTCCTGCGTATTAGAAAATGTTTCATGTAAATTTATTAGAAATAAAGAGGGGAGGGAATACAGCTGGCATGTGCTTTATGAGCCAAACTGCTCCTAAACAGACAGCGTATCACAACATCCATGAGCAGACAGCAGGCTGCTGTTTAATAAAAGGAAGAGCCTACCAAACCCCAGGCAAATCCACCTAATGTAGAACAGTTTAATGGAGTAGGACCTTGATATGAAAGCAATCTAGAGAGCTGGAGGGTCAGGGAATGTAAGCTACTGTCCCATCCCATGGAGAAACACATGGCCCACGGTTTGTTTTAAAAAAAGAAAAGTGAAAAAGAGAGTTAAGAGTGTAAGGGAAGATTTTTAAATGTAAAACCTCTCTAATTATTTTTAGTCTTTTTTTTTTTTTTCATCTAAAAATCTGCATGGCACCATCCTTTACTGCTCTCACAAGTACAGACTACAGCCTGTTGTGAACAAACATCCCTTTGCAGTTAAGTGTAAAATGACTCTGTTAAAACTATCCTGCAATTTAGTAATTACATTTCTTACATCCCCAAGACAGACTGCTGAGAATGATTGCTTTAATATTGTAACACTACAAAATAAAAGGTTAATTTTCATAAAAGTAGGACTGTGTAGTCTTTAAACCTGGTGCTAAGAGATTTTAATTTATATTTATATCATCAAGCAGAAAATTTTAATTTAAATTATTTATTTTAAATTCAATTTACTTTTATACCTCTTTTTTTCCATTAAAAAGATAGAAGGGAAAGAAGTTTGATTCTCATCAGTTAGGTCCCTTTTAAAACAAGTCAAAATGCAGGTAAGCATAGACTTTATCCTAAATTTACTCCTGCTTTTTGTTAACTTGAGAATATACTATACCTGCACGTTTATTTAAGCAATTACACAGCTAGCATACGTTCAGTCAGATACTTAATTCTAATTAGATTAGAAAGCGATGAATGACATATTTCTGATTTACTAAGCAAGTCATTTTGGGCCCAACTACGTTTAGTTAGAAACTGTTGTTCAATTAAAATATCCTTATCATTATGTTTTCATATAGTTTAATAAAACTATCTTAAATGTTTGGAACAGGTAAGAAAGCAAGCTATCTTAGCCAAACTTACTTTATATTTCAAACTAGATCTTTTCCTAGATAAAGAAGGGATTATTTGTATTCCCTGAATGAAAGCTGGCTGTGGTGACTGGGAACAACACTGCAAGATCTCAGCAGCTTACTTCAAGATCTCAGCAGCTTACTTCAAGATTTGTTTGTATATTGGAAAAAAGCAAACTTTATGGATTTGCATCTTCCAGACTGCCTCCCAGTTTTGAATGCACGGTCACTGAACTCAGCTGACGGGGTACATGGAAAAGCTCCTGCTGTCAAAAGCTGGTCTAGATGGTTAATTACAGGTTCAGGTGCTCAGGCAGTGATTTTCACTACTTTCAGCAGTTTAATGTTAAGACTTCAGCAGCAATCCAAAACCACACATTAATATTATTTTTATTTAATCTAAGTGGCAGTCGTAAGTTTAGATAGCAATACAGTATCATGATTTGAAACTTAAGAGTTAATTTTTTAAGGAAACCTGTACTTAAATTAAATAGAAGTCCTGTTTAAAAAGCAAACAAAAGTCCTGTTCAAAGGAAATACATTTTCTTCACTCTGCTATATATTTGATTCTTTGTTTGCTATGTCTAGACTGTGATTTGCCTTGAATGGCCACAGAACACTTACACACGCACTCACAAGTACTATATAACGACTTTGAGACACACATGGCCTTCATTTTAAAACAACTATTCTGACTGTTTGCCCTCACTGTTTCTGTTGCGTGACTGTACCAGAACCGCATTTCCCCACACCTTCTTTTAACTCATAGTCAGATTATCTTCCTTTGTTGGACACCTCTGCCCTTTCTTAGCCTGTTTGTTGAGAATAATCTATCTATCTCAGACTTCTTTTCTTGCTAAGCCACACAAGAGTGGCTTTTTTCCTCTCCTCTCCAAGGAAGACCATCCTCCCATCCATAATCTTTCCAGTGGCTTCTCCTAATAGCTCTTCCCTGCACCTGTTCCAGTTTGCAGTCATCCATCTTCTAGATGGACTATTGAACTGCACACCAGATAAGGTCTTAACAATTCCTTGTACAATGGGCATTAATCTCATGCTAGAGTATGTTTTAATTAATTCCCCAAGCTCCTCTGATGGAGGTGAGGGTTCCTGGTTTATATATGTGAGGAAAATCTGAGACACAGTGAGGTGATACGATTTGCCAAAGGGAGAAAGGTGGCAGAAGGGAAATGGGGCAACACAACAAACCCTCCTGAGACACAGCTTCAGCTGTCCTCTCCGCCCCAAAGCACACCATTCCCCAGTTTACATTGAACCACAGCAGTGCAACAGTCTGTTGAGACAGAGGATTCAAAGACTAGCCGTGCATCCAAGGATAAGCTTTTACAGCACAAAATCTGGGAAGACTGGGAATATTTTTAGCTGATTCTCCTCTGCTTTCTAAAGCCTGATTCCTCATTTCTCCTAGGTCTCCTGTTACACAGTTATTTCAGGAAGGCAAAGCATTGCTAACCTGCAGTTTAAGAAATTTAGTATTAAACTGATGAAGTGCCACATTTCTTTTGAAAGTTGTATTTCAATTGCTTTCCTTCAGTTGCATATGAACACGCTGGAATGTTTTTCTTTAATACAGGTATCTTGTACGATAGGCACGAGTAAGCATCTGTTAAGGCCCATTGGCAGAACTGTTTGCTGTTTGCACTGGTAAGAGAATGGGAGTACAGGTTAGCCAGGCTGAAGGAGACAAAGATTGGAAAATGCTGTTAGTCATTGCTGAGTCACAGCTTTGCCTTCCTCCAGCTCTGACCTGCATCCTCTGTGCCTGGCATCAGGCCCCTCTTAAGCTGAGACAACCTACTACTGTTCCTGCTAATGAACTCTTGTCAGAAAGGAGATGGACGTTGACTGGGGACCAAATAAGAAGAAGGCAACTTGTTTCTCTTGTGCCTTTAGCTGGCTTTAAACCAGGTATATTGCTGGAGGACTACGGGACTCACAGTGGTTTGCCACAGATCTTCTGTATGCTCTCTGGGCAGAGAAGGATCTTTATATGCCAGTTGCCTCCTTCAGACATAACAGATTTTCCAATTTACGGGAGAGGTAAGTCCTAGTAGTGACAGGCAGAACTCAGTCCTTGATGTTCAACAAAAAATACATCAATGTCACCAGCATAATTAAATGATCAAGTCCACTCCACTTACTGGAGATCAGCTATGGTACCCACATAATACAAAAGCCTTCAAAATTAATTCAGTGAGGTCAGACTCTTCACAGAGACAAAGCAAAGCTCTTGGCAAGGGACGTTACCCATCACAGTGCTTTGTCACAAATAGGGAAGAGTAAGGGACAGTGAAGTCCTCTGGTACTCATCAAGGACGGACGAAGAAGGGCAACAGGCCTTCCTAGCAATGGTAGAGGGACAGGAGAGCAGAGCCAATGTGCCACGTACGCCATTGTAAAGCAGAGGTCAAGTTTAGTGCAGGAGAATATTAGGACAGTTGTGGCCAGGCAAGGTAACTACTGTGTATGCTTCTTCCCCACCAGTTCTCCATTTGACCTTGACTAAACCCGGTTGTTACACTGAGAAAAGTCAATATATTTTTATACTTTTCATTTTGGAACCAACACTCAACCTAGCAAAGGTCAGCCACTCATTCCTTACCCAGCTGAGCTCCCTGCTTAGCATTGTTTAACTTGTCCCCTTTGCCAGCCACTGATCCACTTCCACCCTTTTCCATGTGTCCCCAGGTTATTGTGGTGGAAGCCTCCGAAGATGTGTAGTCGCAGCCGGGACATCTGTCCTCCAAAGCAGGGGTATGCTCGCAACTCCGGTGACCTAGACATGCAGCACTGCCCGTCCCCAAAATGCACAGCAAGACACACAGTACCTTCATGCTCCACTCCAGGTACAGACAGATCTTCTGTTCCTTGCCAGAGGATTTTCCCTGTTTCTGCATCCCGAAGGTTCATCCAGTTTCTATTTGGGAAGCAATTAAGGAAAACAAGCTCTCTACATCCCTAAATGCTGTACCTAGCATTCTTTGCTAAGCCCTGAAATAGGCTACTGCAGCTGAGTTTCAGTCATGTTTTCTGATTCTCAGGAGGCCAAGGAAAAGAGATACTTTTCCCCAGAAAATAAATGAACAAACCAACCCTTGACCAGAATGAATGCAACAAGAGTTGTATAGTCACAGATTTAGTTTTCACTTTAGACTGAAGCTTGTTAACCTCATTTATCATTTTCCATTGCTTCTAAAGGATAAAGGCAATGCCAGTGTGCTGCAGAGAAGCAAGAACATTGCTAACAATAACAGATAATTCTACACAAACAACTGCTGTTCTCCAGCATTTGAAAAATGCTAGAAAAAGAAGTGCTTCCTATATAACATTAGAAAAAGAGTAACACTCGATCAAGCTTGTTTTCCTGGTTTACAAAATGCTAGTATCAAGGGTTGTTCTACTGCTGTTGACCTGGTAACAGCCACTCATGGGAATTCTTCGGCTGCTGAGTGCAAAGCAAAGAGAGATCCTCTCTTTTCACTCTGAGCAAGTGAGGCTGTGCCAGCTTTCAAAAAGTGAGTGATCAGTGAATTAGTCACTGAAGTTATGGGCAAGTATGAAATACTAATATTTTCAAAGGGACAATTAATAACTATCTTAAGCACACCTTTGAAAAATCTCTCCCCTAACATAACTCAGACACCGACACACCCAAACAAGGCATTTGCACACCCGCCTGATGCCGTTTTGAACAGGGATACAGCTGTCCGTAAGCCTGAAGCCCTGCAGCAGCCTCCTGCTCCAGAGCTCTTCAGGGTGGCTCTGAGGAGGCACCAGGGTAAACGCCAGCAGCCTGAATAGAGCAGGACCTGTGAGATACGGCCACGCAAACCAGGTGTTTGCCTTTCCAGGTGTTTCCTTTTCCTGGTTTACGGCAGCGCACCCTTCGTACTCAGGACTTCCTAGACAAGGGACTGGAAACTATCTGAGAGAAGGAGAGAGACCAACTGCTCAAGGAATTGACTGGGGAGGTAGGGAAACAGAAGAGGGACAATATGGGCCTTGACGTAGGTATAAATAGGAGCTGTCAGAGATATGCATATTGAGCTCATCCTCTAACATACACAGTTTCCAGGCAGACACACAAACTTGTCACATTGATCACATTTTCCCAGAGCTCCAGGGAAGAAACAGATGCTTTAGCAAATTTTGCATTACAGGGTAACATTTGTTTTAAAATTACATGTGTGGAGGAGGGAAGGGAAGATGGCTGCTTCAGCACAGATGTGAGGAACCTTTCCCTTCCTGGCCAGACTTTCCATGTCCCACTGAAAGGGCAAGAGGGAGGAGAATGGTGGGAATGTGCACACAGGGTCCGTTTACACAGGCATGGCCTTACAGCTTCCAAAATTTAGCAACAACTTAGAGCATGGGAAGAGGGAGCGTAGGGCAGCTTGCTCATGTTCTTCTAGACTTGTTCTAAACCACATAATATCTACCAGTTGTTCTGGGATTAAGCGAAAGTGAAAGGGGGAGAAGATGGAAAGCATTGTCCTCGGAGGACCCCATACGCCACCTCCATATCCTGGCAGAAAGCTGGACAGTGGAGATCTCTCCCCAGCTAGCAAACCAAGGGAGATGGGGGCCACAGCCAGGCAAGTCAGAGAGAAAATGAGTAGCAGCATGGCGAGAAGAACCTGCAGCAGGGCTGGGCACTTCATGTGGGCTGGCTGGAAAACTCAAAGTCCCCAGCCAATGCAACCCACAGGATGGAACCGCTCCAATTGCAATTCAAAATGTCCAAACCCCACCATTTTTCACTACATCTTCCCACAGACAAACATACAAACTAGCCAGGGTGAAGCTGTTTGCATAGAAAGCAGTGTGCAATCTATCATATGCCGTTGCACGAGGGAAGAATAACAAATGAGACAATCTCAGCACCTCACTGACAAATTCATTTATCTCCACAACACCTTGCGACGCAAACACTCTTGACTATTAGCTGTATAGTAATTCAGTAAATTGGGCATTTGATTATCAAAAACCTGTATTACTTTTAAAAATTGTCTCCTCCAGAAGCATTTACTTGCTATTTGTTCGTTGTCAATATCAGTGGGAGTTATGAGCTTGCAGGTCTGGCCATAGGCTGTGTAGTGCCAGACTGAGCAGTAGACAAGTTCCTCTGAACTGGAGATGAAACACTAACCAGAACAGCAAACCCAGCACTGCACAGGAACTGATCCAGTCTCCCAAGCGCTATGCCAGTACACTAGCTAATGGACTATCTTCCTTTTTCCTTGCCATGCCTTGCCTTACCTGCCTGTCCCTCTTCCCCTATCAACTTTTGGAGTACTCTGAAATCTCATTTACCATTTTCAAAAGTACTACATTAGAAGTGCCCTTCAAAGACTATATGTAGTCTCACAGCTTAATTATCATCCTTAGTTGAAATGCATAGTTACAGAGTGGCAGTGACCTACCGATTCTGGTCAGGGAAAACACTACTGCAGCCTACTGACCACTGTTACTTCTCCTCTTAAGGATTTACCTCTCAATCCAGTCCAAGAGACATGATAAAGTTACGTTGTCATGCTGAACAATGCTAGATATGTTAACATTTCAGGTGTTAGACTTCTATAAAGTGCTATCAGACTTCATTCGGTATTGATGTTTCGTAAGAAGAAATCCATGCAGGACAGCTTGCCTCGTGCTTTGTATTCTGACTGTCAAATTAAAGATGAAGAATAAATAAAAAGCTCAAGACTATATCCCTGCTGAGAGCAAGTGCAGGTCAGCAATGCGTGCCACAGTTCCCAGAAAATATCTTGTATTTAAACAATCTGGACACTGCTAACCCATATAAATTCCATATCAAATGCACAAAGGTTCAGTGTCAGTGTAGCCAAAGGCTTCCTGGCCTAGACAGATGCACGTGCAGGTTCAGGACATGCTTTTCCAACTTCTGCAAATAAAAATATGAAATCAACTGCTATTCGGAGTGTATACATGGAGTTAAAATATGTGGACCCAGACACACTTTAAAGGATCAGAATACTCTAGCCAATTCACAAGTTCTTTTCCCAGTAACTAAGCATTATTAAAAGGGAAGAACAAACCATCAAATCTTAAAAGTGCACACACACAATCCTCTTCTATTGGAAAAGCCACTTCACATTCAAGAGAGTCATTCTTTTAAAAAAATAAATGTTTAAAAAGAAACAGGCATCTGAAAAAAATTTCCTAAGTCAAAATCAAGATAATTTATAAAACTTAACTGTAATGGAATTAAAAAAAAAAAAAGGCACAAGTGATTTTTTGGCAAGGGAATACCTCACAAAGCAGCAGCTGTCCTGCTTACCTAGTTAGCAGCTTATCGCACTATTTCTGTCATCTTGGATAGAAAGGCTGGCGCTAGGACATACCCCAGAGTGAAGAAAATGGAGATCTTGAACCAAACCCACACGCACTGTTATCTTCTAATGTGTTTAATTGGTTTAAGATTCTTCCATCCCAGCATGAGAGATATTGTTACTAAAAATAAAAAGTGCTCCATCTTCTGAGCAGCAGTGGAGACCTGCAGGCAGGAGGAAGAGGGCATTTTAAGCACTATTGAAAAAGTAAATTAATACAGGTTTAACGCAATTACTCTTTTTGAAGGGGCTCATGTCAAGCCACCTGGCAGGGGTAGCTAAGGAGAGCAAGTAGAGAGCCAGGCAGTTACAGCTTTGTGAAGTTAACACATATGAAAAAAAAAGGAAGAACAATAGTATATTCCTCATTCAGCTTCTCATTCTAAAATCACAAGAACATTTTTACACTATCACAATTTCATTCTGTGGGAAACAATGTCTGATTTAAGACTCAATAGATCAAATGCTCTTCAGTCCTGAAGGCAAGGAAGGATTAGGTAGAACGGCAGAAGGAAGGGTGTACTGTTGATCTATTTATATTGCACCACCTATTGGGTCAGCAGTCTTACATAAAAGCTTTGTAGTAGCTGGAATTTGACTTGCTTTATATACATGACATGAATTAGCTTCCTCACAGACCTACTTTGCTTAGCCTGATGAAGGGAAACGGTTTGTGCATTTCTAAATCCAAGTTTTGTTGTCTTGAATACCTCTGATCTCAGAACAGAAATTCTTTCTTTTTTATAGCTGTCATAGAGATCACTTTGTTCAAACAAATCAAAATATACATACTTATCTTTAAGTGCTTTAGCATTGCAAAAGATTCCTATGTATTACCACAATGGTAATTAAGAATAATCTCGGAGGAAGAGAATGAGTACAAATAAAATTAATCATTAAAGTAGTATGGAGTTATAGAAGTTCTGCCCCAACCTCCCTGACTATTATTTCTATGTCATACTGTTTAGCACTTCTTGAGTATCTCAAAGTCTGCAGCAAATAGTAAGTGTAATTTCTTCCATTAAAATGGTCCATTTTTCATTTTATTCCTTTCTGTCTACACTATTCTAAAACCTTAGGAACCGCTGCACTCTTATCTTTCACAATAAAAGCAAGCCTAATGTTCATAACCACTCCTGGAAGGGAAGGTCTTTCATCATCTTTGCCAGCTTTTCTTTTTTTTGTGCATGAAATGCAACATTAAGAACAGTTCACTACACGTCAGGTGCAAACAGGCTCTCGTGCGTGCTAATAAGAATTGTCCTACAGGACAAATGACAGAGAGAAGGCGGAGAAGGTGGAGCTGAAAGCCCTGAACAAATCAGACTTACATCTCTGTTGCAGACCCAGAAAAGCTTCTGATCTGGACTGCCTAACTTTCACTCCTGATTTTACATTGTCTGTTGTGAAAAGCAGGCACAACCAGGTACTCATGACATGGGTGAGCATGTTACTTCAAAGAATGTTACACGTAAGTAAAGATCAACCTTAGGGATTGTATTTTTATCAGACATATTTTCCCAAAAGAATATTTGCATGTCAGTTGTTTCAATACAGTC